GTTTCATGGCACTCCCCTTCACGGCCCCTTGCAACCTCATCACTAAAATCGTAATGGCCAGACAGTAATCGACTGTTCTATCTGGATAAATGTATTTTGGCTTTTATGACTAATCCTATTTCAAGAAATAAAGCGTGACATGACACACATTGTTTTTTTTATAGGTTAGATTGAACAAGGCTCACTTTGATATTTAAAAGAATTCAGAACTTGTTTCATAAATTGACTTATAAAGAAATAAAGTAAACATTTTCTTTAGTTTCAAGAATTTCTCTTTTCATAGATTTACTTTCATTTTTGCTCCTTTTCTTCTATTATTTTAATTGATTTTGTATTTTTATCAATTCAAAACACTTGAGGCTTATGAAATGACAATAATAAGCAGGATTTTATTGACTTAGTCAGTCATGCTAACAATTTCTCATTTTTCCATTATTGCTAGCTTTTGTCTTTTACATATATATATATGTGTGTGTGTGTGCATCTTTTTCTTTTCCTGAAAAATTGATAGTTTTTAATGCAATTGCTGAGCTTTTTTATTATTTCTTCTTTTTAAATGCAAATAAATATTTCCAGAGATCCTTGGAGCTGTTGCTAGTGTCCTCATCATTTGGGTGCTCACTGGTATTTTAGTGTACATGGCTGTCAACAGAGTACGATTTCAGAACTATGAAATTGATACCAATGTAATGCTTATTGTGTCAGGTTGTGGAGTAGCAATGAACATCATGTAAGTTTTATTAAATATGGCATAAAAGTTACAGTTTTACATACAAAACATTAGTGGAGTGTTTAAAACCCTGTTTTTACATTAGAGAAAAATAAATAAATAAAATTTAACTCGTTATTTAATTTCTGTTGTACATATTGGTATACAAAAGACATTTTAATACTGGTAATAAATGACCTTATAACACCAAATTTATTTTTCTTCAATTGGACTCTCAACATTTCATTCACTTTACAGCTTCAGAGAAGGATGTTTATTACTGGTATCAAAAAACAAAAAGATAAGGTAGTCTATGTTTTGTTTCCTGTATAGTAGCAAGCTTGAGGCTTGCTACTATAGCCCTCTAATATTCTAGTACTGAATAAACATAATTTTTGTAACAGAATCACTTTGTTTTAAAGCTGCTTCAGCCTGGTGAGAAATATGAAAACACATTACTGTCTGTTACTGTCTATTTGTTGACACAGATTTCACCTTTAATTGATATATTTATAAACAGACAGTTTAAAAGAAATTTTGTTAATGAAGAAACTAATAGTGTAACATTTGCAGTGAAATGGTATTTGTTTAGAAATGAGTAGTAAAACACAAATGAAATTGATTATTACTTTATTTTTTCTTGCTTAACAATCTAGAGGGATATTGTAAGGAAAATCACATTTGTAAACTTTCATTATATTACAAAAACTACTTGTCTTAGTATAACTAAATTTCATCAGAGGACTATTGGTAATCAGAAGTACTATTTAGAAAAAATTTTGGACATGGTACAGTATGTTTCAAAATCTCACAAGAGATATTCAGTAAGTTTTTTCATCATTCTTAATCCAATCTATCCCAAAGAATGAAGCTACAGCAACTGAACAGTGTTAAATGATCCTGGTAATATTTTGTAGACTGACAGATTTTATTCAAAGCCTTCAATCTCATGTTGTTGAATGAGAGAGAGAAAGAAGTTAAAGTGACATAGGTGCAACATGGTGTGAAATACTGTGTGTGATGTCCAAACTTTCATGATAGAAACTTATGAATTCTAATGTTTCTCGTGGAATTTTGATTCTCTTAGATAAGTAGGTTGTATTTTTTATATATTTATTTATAATCAACCTATAGTCTTGGTATACATTTTAAGCCATCCATTGTGGCTGGAACAAATATTTCCCAGTGCTCCCCCCCCCCTCACACTGTGACTGGAGCAAATGTTTTCCACTGTCAATGCTGTTTTTGCCTTCTTCTGCTGTGTCTAGGTTCATCATGTTGACCATCATCACTAGATGAAGAGCTAGCATCTTCTTGTCTAATTCCCTCTTCATCATCACACATTTGAACACCACTTGACTCACTTTCATTATCTTCTGAGCTATCTGGGTCAAGTGTATCAAGAACAGTTCCAAAGTAATTAAGGTTACTACTCGCCACTCTAGCGATGCGGGCAAGGTCAGCACGCAGTTGTCATACATTCCACTTATACATCTTGTTGGTTACTGAGTGGAAAACATTGAGGGAAACCATATATCAACATTAAATGGGATGCCAACAAATACTCTCCAACTCATTTTACGCCCATATGTCATGCGTGGAGATTTTGAGTGACAATTGGAAACATTTGTCCCAGCTGCAGTGAAAGGGTTAAATTTATAATAATCTCAGGTGAGATTCATTCTGTTCAGATACTATTGTGTCCATCCATTTTCAGTTTTTAGTTTGGAACATTTTAAATAACAGAATATTAAAGTTAGTTGTGCACAGTCCATGTAGTAACAATTACGAGAATGTTAATCATGTAAACTTAGTTATTTTTAAAGTTTTACTTGCATTTAGTAAATGAAGGTGCTTTAAATATTATTCAACTATTTACATTGAAAGCATGCTTTGTAATGTACTAGCACTTTTGAAATTTTGTTTGGGTAATATACAATTAGCAGATAGAATTTAGTTTCGAGACCCCATTGTTGAACTTCGTCCCTATTTTGCAATGTTTTTATAAAACTAGTTACTTTGTAATGCTAAATTCATATTTTTCAAAACTATCGGTTTCTTCAAAACATATATTTTCCATCTATACGCTGACAATCTGAGTGATAGACGTTCATGTTATGTTCAGAAATATATCCAAACACTTCATTCTTAATTCATCTATAATGAATAAAACAGAAGTACATGACAATATTTTGATTACTCTTTAATGTCAGTTCTTTAGGAATTGCTCATTTGTACGGTCTGTTTGTGTGAACTGCTGAAACACTGTTCTTTTAAGGTAACAAATGCCATGAAATTATGTAACAAAACTGGAAGTACTTTTAAACACTGCTCTTAACTGGCTCAGTGTGCTTCCAGAAAGAAGGTTATTTAATGTTAATTTTAAAGCTGCCTACAATCACATATATCTAGACATTTATTATCATACATGTTCCTCCAAACAAAAATTTCATTAACATGATTTGACAAATATAAACCTATATAACTGCATTTTTGATGTGTGTAATTGTTATGAAACCTTGAATGTAGTTGTAGATATGTTAACATTTTTAACTGTTCGTTACATGTACATTAGATAAATATTTCGTATAGTTAGTACTTTTTTTAATGGTGAAAGACAAATGATACATAGCAGTACATTCCTCAAGTCTTAGTTACACATTAACTTATAATAGAACACTTTTTATATATTGCCTTTAAAGTATTATGATGTCAAGTAGTGCAGTATTTTGTGAAAGTTTCAGAATTTTTATTATTGGCAAAGAAAGAATTAAAGCAGTTTTTCCAGCTTTGCTGAGCTCGTTATAAAACTTGGAATACACATATGTGCTATACATATTAAGCCATACTAGTGCCCATAGCATAAATTTGAAGTTAAATTATGTGAATCGGGAAACTTAAACAGCAGCAATATCTTTATTCTCCACATTGTTGCTGGATATTCTGTTATTGTATACTTTGGGAAATAAGCCAAAATGCTGAAAATTGTACTTATAATCCTTGACTTGTAGAATTTTGTTGTGGTGAGAGTTTTGTTCAAAGTCAACTGTTTACAATAGCTACTGCAGTAATAATACAGGATTTAGTCAATAAAACATTTCAGTTTTTCAATATATGGGAAATTTTAATACGAATTTGGTTTGCTTTTGATCTACAAAGTTATAATGTCAAGTTTAGCCTGAATCTGGTCAACTTGTTCAGGAGGAAAAAGCACCCACAGACAGACAGAAAGTTTTCCTCGATATTGGATAGTTACTTTAGAATAAGTGCTTAAGCCTGAATTAGAGAAGTATTTCACAGTTAAAATATTTAGTAGTGTATTTCTTGCTTCTTGATGTAGAATATAGTTTTCTGAAGAAGTGAAATTTAAAATTGTTATTAAATTTTATGCATTAAATGTACTAACTTCAGACAGTAGAAATCTTAACCACATCTCTACTGTGAAATTGTGCTGCTTTGAAAAAGAAGTTAGAATAAGTAAGTGTTGATATGACATGGTGTAGGTAATTCATAGCACTAATAAAAATATAAATATGTTTTATTTGAATGTTTAATCATGTAATAGTCCTCAAGAATGTCAAGAGCTTCTCTTCAGAATAATATATTTATCAATCAATATGTAATAGTATTTAAAGACGTAAACATAATTTTTGGAAATAATCAAAACAAGAACTACACGTTTTTCACAGTTAAAATATATGTTTACTTTAAGGGAAAAAGAGCACAAAAACTCCACTTCAGGAAGTAAAAGTTAATTCATATTTCATATAAAATGTATGGATTTTTCAGAACTATCCATTAAATTCATGTGAATGTTTAAAAGATGCATTTTCTCAAGAAAATGTCAGAACAGGTGAATTGAGCAATGTGTTGAAGAAGAAAGTTTGTAGCTTGGTTAATTTGTCGATAAACAGTTTTTTTTTTTCCAAAATTAAAGCACTTCTGTTTTAATTTCATTAATATGTTTTTTTAATTGTGTTTTTAATTTAACCTTTAATAATCTCTTATGCAGAATGGGGCTTGTGCTTCATGGATCCTTCTCAAGCCATAACCACAGTCATGGGTCAAATTCTAGTGCAACAGGCAACAGCCAGAACATAAATGTCAGGGCAGCGTTTATTCACGTTTTAGGAGATCTTGTCCAGAGTATTGGTGTACTTATAGCTGCCTATATTATTCATTTTAAGGTTAGTATTTATGGTTGTAAGGATTAGTGTTGTTCTTTTGATGTCTTTTCATAAAACAAGAGGCTTTTATTCATGTGTTGTGTTTATAATATATTGGCAGTTTTGTTATTCTCAGCTGAAAAAGGGTTGCTGCCTGTATTATTTATTTTAAGATTAGTATTTATGTAAGGATTAGTGTTGTTACTTGATGTCTCTTCACAAAACAGAGGCTTTTATTCATGTGTTGTGTTTATAACATATTGACAGTTTTGATATTCTCAGCTGAAAAAAGTCAGGCGTGACCAAATGATTAGCATGCCAAAAAATAATACACTGTTAGATTCAAACATGATAATGGACACAATAAAAGATTCAAGCAGTTATTTAATTCATATTTCATATAACATGTATGGATTTTTCAGAACTATCCATTAAATTCATGTGAATGTTTAAAAGATGCATTTTCTTAAGAAAATGTCAGAAGAGGTGAATTGAGCAATGTGTTGAAGAAGAAAGTTTATAGCTTGGTTAAATAATAAAAGGGCACGTCATCTCATTTGTTGACTCGCATTCAAAATTTTATTGAACTACTATTTCATGAATTTATGTCAATA